AATCAGCTGGATGAGTCTCCTTTACTATACTCGATCTTGTAGTCGTATTGTGACATTAGTGAGGCCCATCGGTGCAATCGTGCACATTAAAATTAATTTTCGGTAGCACAAAGTGCACAATGATCGAAACGATCGTGAAACTTTTCCACTTAGATAATGAGAATATTTATTAACTGCAACGATAACGGCCAAACACTCTTTCTCCGTTATCGTATAAGCCAGTTGATATTTTGCAAGTTCTGTCCAAAATATGAAACTGCTCTCCATTCATTGTTTTCTAATTGAAGGAGAATCCCGCCAACAGCAATAGATGAAGCATCAACCATCAATTTATGTTGAGCTTCAGGTTTGAATTGAGAAAGTAAACAATCTTTTATCAATGAATCTTTGATGTGTTGCCAAGCCTTTTGATGATGTTTATCCCAATTAAATTTACCTTTGTTCTTCTTAGAACATAACTCGAACAGAATCGAAGCAACAGTTGAGTAATTAGGGATAAATTTCGATAGATAATTGAAAAGTCCCAGTTGACTTTGAAGTCCCTTGACATTTTGGGAGGTTGAAATTCCTTGAGACGCTGGATTTTTCAGGATCCGGCGAACTGAATTTCCGCTGATAATATGACCTAAAATTTTACTTCTTTATGTCCCCATTTACACTTATCAGGCTGAACTTTTAAACCAATATCTTTTATTCGGGAAAAAACGGAATTAGCATTTGCGATTAATTCATCAAACGTTTTTCCAAAAATGACGATGTCATCAATATATGCTAAACAAGCTTTGTAGAGAAGATTACCAAAGACAGAATTTACGAATTGTTGAAAGTAGGCAGGGGAATCAGCTAATCCCATGGGTAATCTCACATATTGAAATTTACCCATTTCGGTAACAAGAGCGACTTTTTCTCTTTCGGAAGGATTTAATTGGATTTGATGAAATCCTTGAGCAAAATCGATGGTGATGAAATATTCATAGCCTGCCAAAGCTTGAATATGATCATCAATGTTGGGCATTGGATAGCTTCTTGTTTTCATGATAGAATTCAGTTCTTTAAATGATGTAACCAAACGATAGTCTTTACCACCAGGTTTTTCGACTAGAAATGCAGGGGAACCACCACAGGAATTAGATGGTTCAATGATGTTGTTCTGAATTAGTTCAGTTATCTTCTTGTCCAGAATTTCCTCTTCTTTGGACCAAGTCGATAAGGGTTACATTTTGGAATAGAATGACTTCCAATATCGATTTTAATATTGACTGTTTCGGCTGGAATACAACCCAGGTCGTATTTGTGAGTTGAGAAAACCGATTTAAATTTGTTAAGAAAATCAACCATTGTTGATTTTTGATGCTGATTTAAATTTGATGAGATGCCTTTAATTAATGTTGATTGTAAATTTGAAATTTCCGAAGGAAATTCATCTCGTCTTGTGTCTAATTTGGCTTTTTAATTTCATGAAGATATTGTTCATCTGAAAGGAGGACATGATTATCATGCTGATTAAAATGGCGATTGTTGATTAAAATTAATTGATTGCTGATTATAAGGCGATTGATTAAAAGTTGATTGATGTGGAAAGATTAAATTGTGATTAAAAGTTGAAGAAGAAGAAGAATTTAATTGTTGATGATTAAATTGATTTGGATGATTGTGACTTGTAGGTTGATTGTAGCTGGAAGGTGATGATTGTTGATTAATTGTTGAATGATTTATTTGTTGATGATTTAGTTGATTGATTTTGTTGTGAAGGTGAGTTTGAGGTTGAATGTGAGGTCGAAGTTGTGGACTGTGAGCGAATTTGTCTGCAGTTAGGTGGGTAATTACGGGCGGGTCCATAGATTCTTGGGAATTGAGTTGTGAAAAGGTGATGAAAACATTCAGGTCCGGGAATCTTCAGAGTAATTCTGAGATTTTTACCAGATCTGGTTGGTTTCCAACCTTTCACCGGGTCAGCTTCCAGTGCTGTGTTAGACCAGAACCAGAAATTTTTACCAAGTATCATTTCAAATGGTAACTCCTCAAGGACAAAAACTCTTAATGGATCCAATTTGATTGGATTTTCTACTTTAAAAACCAATTGTGTAACACCTACCGCTCTCACAGGTTTATTTCTTCCTGACAACCCTAGAAACTCATGGTGACTCTGATAAATAGGAATTTGCAATCTAATTGCTAAATCTTTTCGCATGAAAGTTGAGCCTGAGCCGGAATCAAGAAGAGCTTCAATATTGGCTATTTCATGGTGATCAATGTTAATTGTTACTCTCGGTCTCATATTGATTTGATTGTTGATAGCTTGTATCATACAATTTGTTGAATTTTCAGCGGCTACTCTAGCCTGACAATTTGCTGTCGAATGACCGTAACTAGTACATAAGGAACAATAATTACTATTATTGTTTGTGTTACTGTTATTGTTATTCTCATTGTTACTGTAATTTGTGGATTGTTGCTGATTTGACTGTTGATTTGGAGGTCGATTAGATTGCTGATTGTTTGACCTTCCTCGTCCTCTATAATTACTTGATCGACCTCTAGACGATCTTGAATTATTAGGTGATGATGAACTGTTCTGATCTTGATTGTACGACAGAGATTTACCTCTAGAATTAGGTGAACTGGATTGATTTGATCGCTGGGATCGATTAGAATTATCTTTACTGGGAGTGAAATTGGAGTTAAATCCATTGGATTTTCTATTGTTATTGTTACCTTGATTCTGTCGACGATTAGTTGGACTCGGAACATAATTTTCATCGCAAGAGCTATCCTTTATCTTATTGCTATAAATGATTAAAAATTTAGTTAATTTATCCAACGTGTTTACATTTGAATTGTGTCTCAAAGAGAAGCTCAATTCATTTGGAAGCAAATGGAGAATTAAAAAGATGATTCCTTTATCTGGAATCTTAGGTATCACTAACCTAGCTGCTTCTGTTAATTCGAAGACATAATCACTTGGATTGATGCCTTTCGTGAATTTCTTATTGAACAATTTTTCAGTCCTTCAGCTACTTCTCTTTCGCCTACAAGCTTTCACGAACACGTTTAACTAAATTAGCAAAAGAAATGTTAGGATTGTTTCTGAAATTTCATCAATAGCTTTATGAATATCATCAGTTACTTGTGCACAGAGTTTTAATAGCAAGGTGATCAGATAATTCTAGAAGAGAAACTCTTCTCTCTAGTTTGTTTAACCATTGGCAAAAAGTCAGTGACCCTTTTTCAATGTATTCTTCAATTACTGATTTGAATTTAAATCCATCAAGAATTGATGGTGAATTAGATCTGAACATTTGCTGAAAAAATTGAGGAGTGAAATTAAACATTTGATTGGAATTGATTGGAGTCTGAGGGTTGGTTTTCTGTTTGTGGTTATTTGGGAGTGGAGAATGATAATCATGAGGCTCGTCATTGACAATGTCATCGACTAAAGCTTCATCATGATCATCATTCTGAGGGAAACACTCAAAATACCTTTTGATTTGCATAGATGTGAACTCAAGTTCTTTTAGATAATCTTCAGAGAGATTCTTACCTTCATCGATGACTTCTTCCTTGATTAATTTTCGAAGATTCTCTTCGGTAATACCAGCGCTTCTCAATCGGTGGTGAATTTCAGGGCAATCGAGGAATTTAGGGTCGAATTGATGATTTTTATCGATGGGTGATGAATAGGATAAAAGGGAACCACAAATAAAGGCTTGTGTGGTCATCGCCTCGCGAATGACCTTGGTGACATAGGCTTTACCTTGGACTGAATATTTAAGTCCATAAATTTCACAGAGCTTTTGACGATTAGTCTCGTCATTGATATAAGCGCCAACCGTAATTGTTTCTTCAGACATGATTGAATCACTGAATGTCCAATCGTGCACGTTAACTCTTTTGTTTTCGTGAAAAAATTCAACTAAAGATGTGTTGAGGTTTGGAACAGAAAATGCTGTTCTTAATGATGAATAAATTCTCGAATCGAATGATGTGAAGAATTTTGATTCTATTGAAGATGAGGACGAAAGCTCCACTTTGTTAAATTGTTACTAATTGTTGCTAAAAAGCACACACAGGGAAAGAACACACTCAGAGCTAGTAACACGTGTAAAGGAACACACTACGATGACCTTCAGACAAGATAATGATTACCACTACTCTGGTTATTACTCGTTTAAGTAATGAGGGATCTCCACCATTTGTAAGGTCTAATTAATTCACGGGGATGAGGTACAGGCACCCTTACAAAAATGCACCGAAATGATCGAACTGCAATCCTAGCAATTAGTGAGAGGGTTTAAAGTAAATTACCCTAATATCCCTCTTAGCCAATTAGCAAGAGCAATTGAGTAACGATTTAGTTAATTAGAAATTGTTTATTGATAAGTAACTTTGAGATTTATAACATGGAAACGGAAGTTGAGAGATTGGGGAAGAGAGAGTTAACTTGAGTAAGTTAAAGGTTAGACATTAACATAACCTGATTGAGAGATTAACATAAAGATGAGTAGTAACAACTATTTTCAACTGATCATGAGTGATGTGGAAAAGGAAATAGCATAGGTATTTATGCAGGTAAAGAAAGAGATGATTGGTTACAGAGATTAAGCGGGATAAACAAATATAATAATTAATTGATTGTTGATGGAGAGAAATAATTAAGGGGGAAAGAAGCCAATCGAAGCGTTTCCCTTACAAAATTAAAGGTTAAATTGTTTACTAGGAACACTCATAATCCATTAAGAAGTCTTAATCATTAGAGTTAAATCAACTTTCCAAGTTAAATATAAATCAATTGTTTCAATTGAAAGAGTTAACAACTTGTCATTATTTTGGTCAGACAATTAAGACAATCAATTGATTGTTATTAACCATACACAGAGAGAGAAGCGAGTTAATTGTTTTGAAAGTTAATCACTAGTTTTAACTATCAATTGTTTCACATTCTCATAGCAACCTGCTAATTGTTAAGATAATCAATGATTGTGATAAATTGATTTACTTACATGAGAAAGTAGCAACTGAACGACATCATCTTGACCCTTAATTGTTGCATGAATTAAGGCAGTTTGACCCCGAGAATCTTGTATATTTGGATTGGCTCCAAAATCAATCAACAATTTAGCAAATTTGATTCTCATCTTTCGTTGTTCTTTACGATTTAATGTCTTCACCAAAAAGATTAATGGAGTTTCCCCTGATTCATTGCGTCCATTCACATCTTGACCACTTTGGATCAACAGAAGACACTGTCTGATTAATTAAGAAATTAACAACAATCAATAATTTATAGTTGATTAAGTTCATCGACTGAAAAATCACCAATCAATAAACCAAAGACAATGACATTGAATCAATTTTTAAATTGCTCTTTCCTTAAGAAAATTTTAAATTTTCACTTCAATTAACTGTTTTTGATTTTGATATTTGATCATAATCAACATTTAATTGTTAATTGTAGGTTAAGTTAAATTGATTGGTCAAGTAACATTTGATTTAGTTGTAATTTGATAACAAAAAATTGTCAATGGTCATGTCATTTTCTAGTTATTGATTAGCAACTCTAATTGTAATAATATTGGTGACAATTAATGTAATCATCAATTTCAAGTTCACAATTGATTTTTGTCTTCATGTTGATTATATCAGATTAACATGTAAAGAGTATTGATTAGCCAATACAATCAAATATAACCATTTGATTATGTTGATTCCATGGTTAATAATCATCAACAATCAACTAATCATTAAGCATTTTACTTGAAAATTTAAAAAATATTGACTTTTAATTTTGTTTATCAACCTTTTCAAGGTTAATTGTCTTGTCACTGATTAATGATTTTTTTTTCAATTGTTATCAATATCCAAGTCCATTAGTATTTATTAAAAATTGTAAACAATTTATTGATTTCTGATAAATCATAATTATATTGTTACTTATATATTTGATAGTAAATAATGATAACAATATAAGATTTCAAATTATTGATTTAAATTGATCATAATTACCTGTATCTTTGATTACGAATTGAATCAAAAAGAGCAATGTTTGAATTAGAGTCAACCGGATTAATTTTATTGTTAATTGTCAGCTTTTGTCGTTGATTTGAGTTAATTGTTCCATTAGCATAAGGATAATTATGATTACTTTTAGTTGCCTTTGAGTTAATTGTTAAATATTCCGTTGGATAAGCTAAACTTGCCCATTGTCCAGTTGAAGTTAACGAATCCGCAATCGAGACCATAATTCATTGAGAGATAATTAAACAACACAATTAAAAGTAACTTAATTGTAAATATACAAATAAGGATAATTTAAAAAAAAACAAGTACAACTCATAAAAAGTAACAACAGTTTTAGTAAAATCTTCACTTAATTATCCCGATGTTGATTAACAGTTTGAGATGAAATTAATTGTAACCAATACAAGTTGATAATGATATTAGTTTCCAATGAATCCTCATGTTATCAATGAATTAATTTCACCTTGATAAATATCATCTCTATCATCATTATCATCATCATCATGCGCAAGCCAAATTATACAATACAATCAGTTAATTGTATTCATATAATCATGATGAATATTGGAAATATTATCATTCTGACTGTCCAGTTCTGTCCATTGGACTTTTTTTTTATTTCTTTTGTTCCAAATTTTTCCTCACTGACCATTCTGGACACTTTTTTGCTTCCTTTGGATTCAATGAGTTAATCAGAGCATTTCAACTGACCCATGATTAGTTAATTAGCTTTTATCATCCAATTTTCCTCCTCCTCCTCATCATTATCAAGATAATTTGTCATCAGACCTTTGGGAATTCAATAATCAGGCCAACAATCTGTTAACCATAATTACAAATCCAACTGTTTGAAATGATTTTTAGTTTATAATCACAAAATCGGATCAATTTATCTCCAAATGTTGATATTAAATTTGATTCTAAATCAAAATAATAAAACATTGGAACGAATTTAAATTTGGCGCTCAAATTTGCGAACACCAAATGTAACCGGTTACCTGGCAACCGATCAGCTGTTGATCAATAAATAAATTGTTTCGTTAGTTAATGATTACGGTTTTATTATTTTCTTTTGTTTCATTTTATTGTGATAAATTAATGTTTCTATCGGTTTGGAATTGTTTTTATTTAATTTTCAGGTGACAAGGAGGGAAAAGAAAAATCGTATTGTGGAAAAAGATGATTAATTCTTTGCATGATTCCGCTTTCCTGATAGATGATGAATCCAATGAACCGCTTTCATTTCATCGGGTTAATAGTGTGGAGATACTTTATGAGAAGAAAAAGAAACGAGCTAAATTTATTGGTCATTATATTTTAGGTGATGTTCTTGGTGATGGTTCCTATTCAAAGGTGAAAGAAGTTATCGATAGTCTTACCCTTGAGAGAAGAGCTTTCAAGATAATGAAAAAGAAAAGACTTCGAAAGATACCAAATGGTGAACAAAATGTCCAACGAGAGATTGAATTATTACGCCGATTGGATCATAAGAATGTAATCAAATTGATTGATACCTTTTATAATGAAGAGAAACAAAAGTTGTACATTGTCATGGAATATTGTGCCATTGTATTACAAGAGATTCTCGATAGTGTTCCAGGAAAACGTTTACCCCTTTGGCAGAGTCATGGTTATTTTAGTCAACTTTTAGAGGGTTTAGATTATCTTCACTCTAAAGGTGTTATTCATAAAGATATTAAACCGGGTAATTTATTGATCGACAATTCTGGTACCGTGAAAATAAGTGATTTTGGTGTTTCCGAGTTACTTGATATTTTCTCTCAAAGTGATGTAATTTCCACAAGCCAAGGTTCCCCTGCCTTCCAACCACCTGAAATTGCTCGAGGCTGTGAATTTTTCCATGGATTTAAGATTGATATTTGGTCTTCAGGTGTAACATTGTACAATATTACCACTGGTTTATATCCATTTGAAGGAGATACTGTATATAAATTGTTTGAGAATATTTCAAAAGGTGAATTCACCATTCCAAATGATTTAGATGAATCATTATCTTCCCTGATTAATGGTATGCTTGAAGCTGATCCTGAAAGACGATTTACTCTCATTCAAATACGAAATCATGATTGGCTTAGAAAAAAACAAGTACAAGATTCGCCATCATTGATAATACCCAATCGTCCCAATGGTGATCCATTCCGGAGTATGACAGTTTTACCTTATCTTCATAATTTACATTTTCCAAGTGAATCATCAAGCAGACAATCAACCGGTAGTGGAGGAGATGGTAATCTTGAAGCTGCTAATTCACTGAATCATCTAGTTGAAATTTGGAGAGGTTCTTATGTCAATCAAACATCAGGGTACAGGCAACAACCATTTGATCAGAATGAAAACAAAAACACCTCAGCTGATTATCTTACAATCGCCACTGGATCACAGGGGAAAAGGAAATTTTCTAGACGAAGCTCAACTAATCAAAAGTCTAGTAAAGCAAAATTTTTCGGATGCTTAGGAGTCAAATCATTTTGTCATCAGTCTTGACCCTTAACCTCTCAACTATCAGCATTTGTTTTGGTTTTTTTTTCTCGTCATTTTTTATTTGTCATCTTTTAAGAAACAAAAAAAATCAACAACAAATTGTAATCAATTTTGAGTCAATAACAAACAAATAGAGATGAAAACTAATTAAATGATTAAGAAAGAATCAAAAACAATTACTATTTAATGTGTAAATTTGTGTAATTAACTTAATCAACAAACTATCATTATTTTATTAACCATAATCACGTGAAAAACTGAATAATTGTAAATAGAAACGTGGAAACAATTAAACAGTCTGATGTTCATCTTATTTAATTATTGAAATAATGATTCGATGATTACCAATTTGACTTAATTGTCCATATTGATCACTTTCCAGTTACATTTTCCTCATATCAACAGGAATCGGAATGACTTCATTTGAATCGATTCTCAAATGTATTATAATGTACCGTTATTTTGAAACTCGACAAACTTTTCCACTTTGAAATAATTCACTTAAGGAGTAAGACTGCCAACAGGTCGCTCATGCAATCGAAACGATAGATGCATAAACAATGGTGATCCATATGGACCATCAAGTCGAACTGGTAAAGGAATCGACGATCCTAACATGTTCTCAATATCTTCAATGATGAACACTGGAATTCAGTGACTGGATTACTCTGACGACGAAGGCCACCTGATGATCATCTCTTTTTCTCTTGCTGCTCGATGTAAGTGTGTCCAGTAGATCTAAACATCCTTCTGGTGAGAATGAAACGTTCAACAAGAAACAGAATGAACCAGGTTCTTCTGGACATCGACGAAGAAAAATGTTACCATCGCGAGTCGATCATTTGGTGACCAAATTTTGGTGATCAAGAGACCAGAGAATTTTGTTTTTCGGCCTGGTGATTACAGAGGGTACAGGCAGCAACCATTTGATCAGAATGAAAACAAAAACACCTCAGTTGATTATCTTACAATCGCCACCGGATCACAGGGGAAAAGGAAATTTTCGGGACGAAGCTCAGCTAATCAAAAGTCTAGTAAAACAAAATTTTCGGATGCTTAGGAGTCAAATCATTTTGTCATCAGTCTTGACCCTTAACCTCTCGTTATTATTTATTTGTCTTCTTCATAGAAACGATAAAAGGTCAGCATTGTGGAGATGCAAACTTTTTAAATGATTATGAAAAAAAGAAAAACAATTACAATTTAACTTAATCACCAAATTGTTATTTTATTAACCATAATTAGGTGAAAAACTGTAAAATGAAACGTGTAAACAATTAAACAGTCTGATGTTTATCTCACTTAATTGTTACTCTCTCCCTCTCATCTGATTGTTTAACTTACCATCAAAAATTATTTGAATTATGATTCAATTGTTAATCCAATAAGAGTTGATTACTCTCAGTTGTGATTGGTGTTTAACTTAATCAACTCTATTTCTTAATCTATCCTTTTTTCATTTGATTGTGTCAATCAAACAAGTGATGGTAACAATTTACAATCACACTTATTAATCAATTACCCAGCCCTTTGATTTTAAATCATCGCCATTGAAACAGCATGGAATTGATCTCACGTTTATCTAGAGCCGGGTAAGTGTTTAATTGATTTAATTGTTGGCCGATTGTTTCAATTTCGTCTTGATATTGTTTTTCTTAAGGTCATTAAGGATCAGCAAAGATGCTTCCGTCCGTTTATTGTGCGAAAAGATTGACCAACTATGTCCAAATCATCGGATAACCAAAGATATATTTCGACGGTTAATTGTTTCTCGTAATGTAAGTTAGCTAATTGTTAATTGTTGTGTGTCACCTGATGGTCAATATTGTGGACATTTCTTTCCCTCAGGCGTATTTTTCGGACCGATTGTTTGAGTTGTTCGATTCAACGAACTGCGGTTACCTGACCAGAGAGAAAATTGTTGATTGTATCAAAGGAATTATCGAGAAACCAATGATTGAAAACTCACTTTCTTTTTCCAAATCAACGATATTGATGGTAAGTAATTAACTGTTTCTCTTAAATTGTTTGTGTTGTTAATCTTTGATTATTCATTCAGGTGATGGTTTAATCTCATTCTGTGAACTCAGTCATCTTCTTGAATCTTGTATGACCGAAAATGGTTTAGCCTTTAGTAAGGACGAAATTAACGATTTAACTTATGTCCTCTTCGAATATGCTGATACCGATCATACGGGGACAATTTGTTTCGATGAATTTCAAGCGTTAATTGCTCGTCATCAAGGTTTACTTGAGAATATATCGATTTCTATTGATCGATGGCTTCTACCAACACCACTGGAGATCAAACAACCAGTCGAAAATTATTTCTCTCGAAAATTTAACTACACCTACATAAGGAACAATCGAACCAGCGTTTTCTTTTTTGTCAACTATTGTCTAATTAATTTGATTCTTTTCACCATGAGGGTCAAGGAATACGCCGAGGAAGGACATCACCCTGAGTGCGTTTGGATCGCTCGAGGAGCAGGTAAACCTTAGAACTCCGTTTGATTTATCTCTTGATTTCAATTCTCTTTTTCCATCTACTCTTTTAATCTCAGGTATTTGTCTAAATTTTAACGGAGCTTTTATAATCCTTTTAATCCTTCGACGGACATTGACCTTTCTTCGGACACTCGGTTTAAACGAATACCTACCTGTTGATCAGCATATTTATTATCATAAATTGTGCGGTTATGTGATTGCCTTTTTTTCAATAATCCACACGATCTCTCATCTAATCAATTTTGGTTCGTACTAATTTGTCGCTGACGTTTACATGTAAAAATCTATTTCGATCTACTAATTATGGAAATTTGTTCATTCAAACAGTTCATTTGTCTACAACTCGAGACGTTAAACTAGTGAATTTGTTATTTGGCCTCAATCCTGCGTTTAAATGGTTCTATGGAGCTGCGAGTATAACTGGTTGGGTGTGTCTCTTTTCTCTGACAATAATTGTCGTCTCATCTTTACCATGTGTCCGAAAATCGGGTCATTTCGAGATTTTCTATTACTGTCACTTGTTTTATTTCGTATTTTGGATTGCCCTTATTCTCCATGGGCCCTCTTTTTGGATCTGGTCTGCGTTTCCGCTCATTTTATTTATCGTTGAACGTTTCATTCTCATCAAACGGATGTTTGGTTCTGCTGGTCACACTTACATCGATAAAGGAGAAATGTTACCATCACGAGTCGCTCATTTGGTCATCAAGAGACCTGAGAATTTTGTTTTTCGTCCAGGTGATTATGTTTATTTACAAATTCCCTTCATCGCTAAATGGGAATGGCATCCGTTCACCATAAGTAGCGCTCCAGAAATGGAAGATGTTATTTGGCTTCATATTCGAGGAGTCGGTGAATGGACAAAACGAGTTTGTCAAATCATCGAACAACAAGAGAAAAGAGATCATCATTAGGTGGACTTCGTCGTCAAAGTAATCCAGTGTTCATCATTGAAGATATTGAGAACATGTTAAAACCATCGATTCCTTTGCCAGTTCGACTTGATGGTCCATATGGATCACCTTCCAGTCACATTTTCCACACTCAACATGCTGTTCTCATATCAACAGGAATCGGAGTGACTCCATTTGCATCGATTCTCCAAAGTATTATGTACCGTTATTTGGAAACACGACAAACTTGTCCACGATGTAGTTACTCTTGGACCGATGCGACTCCACCATCGATATTAAAACTAAAGAAAGTGGATTTTGTTTGGATCAACAGAGAACAACGAAGCTTCGAGTGGTTTGTTCATCTCCTCTCTCAATTGGAAATAACCCAAGCCGAGTTAATGGAAGCCGATCGTTTCCTGGACATGCACATTTACATAACATCGGCGATCGATAATGCTGATATTCGAGCGATCGGTCTACACTTGGCACTTGATCTCATGCACAATAAAGAAGAAAGAGATCTGATCACTGGCCTCAAGACTCGAACTAAACCTGGAAGACCAAAGTGGGACGAATTTTTCACCGAAATCAAAAGAAAAATAAAGGCCACGTTTCGCTCTTCTATTGTGGTCCACCGCCTCTTGGGAAAACGCTCCACAATTATTCAAATAAATATGGATTCAGTTTTTACAAAGAAAATTTTTAATTGATTTTATCACTTTTACTTTACGTTCACTTTATAACCTGTAATAATAATAAACAATCAATTTTTCCATTGGAAAACAATTGATGGAATCACAATTTACTTATCATTAATTTGATTCAGTTAATTTGGTTAATGAGACAATTTAATTAGGACGCTTGTTGATAATTAATGACAAATAAAATCAGGAAAGTTCAATCAATTTAATTAACAATTAAATCATGTCGATATGAATACGTGTTAATGTAATTAGAATCTGGATTAGCTTTAATTACATCAGATTTACCTCCTTTAGATGAAGATGATTTAGTTGAAGTTTTTAATTGTGATTTATTGATTGTGTTATTAGTATTTTCATTGATTTCTCCATTCTCCATCTTGGTCGCAATTAAATCATCATCTTTACCATCAAGATGATATTGTGATCCAGTGTGATGATTTTGATCATGATTAAGTTGATTGTGATAATCACTAGTTACATAGGTTCCATCTGAATCAACGGAAATTGAATCAAGTGATTTAGCTTTCGAAAGTGTTGGTCTGATTGATGTCCATCTTTCCAAGTCTTTCGAGTAAATCGAATTGAATTGGGTCAAGTAATTAGTTAATTGCGATACAATTTCACCTTTTGATTCTTCCTTTGCAATTTCCAATGCGTTTTTGCCGTAATTGTTTCGTTGTCTCAATAGATTAGGATCAAGTTCGCGTTTGATGAAATGTCCAACAAAACACTCGACGACATTTGATTGTCCACTTTTAGCCCCATGCATCAGGGCAGTATTGCCCTCTTTGTCCTGAATCGTGATATCGGTATTAACCTGTTAATGTATCAATTAATTTATGTGACAATTAGTAAATCATTTTGAATTGAGTTCGAGCAAAAATTTTTCTTCATTTCCTTTTCGACTCTATTGGTTACTCATCTCAATTAGATTCTTAGTCAAACTTGACCTTGAGATTTAACAACAATAAAGGTGATCATATGAATAAACCATAACACAAATTATCAATTAAATTTACAGTGAAAAAATAGTTTGATTGCGACAATTCCTTTGACGACGAAGGCCACCTGATGATCTCTTTTTCTCTTGTTGTTCGATGATTTGGAAACTCTTTTTGCAACTTCTCACTTAAAAGATTATCTTAAGTTTTTGCGAATCAAAGGAATCTAGTGTCATCATTATTGGGCCATAAATGGAAGAACAATGCCTCAGGCTTACAGGCGGAACGCTCATCCGCCAACGATAAACCTCTTTTCACCTGAAAGATAAGGTTAATTATTCTTTTCTTTAAGCACAACTATAATAACTATATTTCAGGTGCATTATGATAATCTAAAATCTCTAAATCTGAGAGTCTAGAATTTCTATGACAGTATTTAAACCGAAACCTGTACCAAAATTTAACTCATTCTTTTTCCGGTAATCGAGTGAATAGGTCGTTTCATCTTGTCAGTTTGTAATTAACTCGTAAATAATTTATTCTTTGTGTGAGAACTGGACGCAATGTTACCGTCACGAGTCGAGCATTTTTCATAATTGAAGATATTGAGAACATGTTAAAACCCTCGATTCCTTTGCCAGTTCGACTTGATGGTCCATATGGATCACCTTCCAGTCACATTTTCCACACTCAACATGCTGTTCTCATATCAACAGGAATCGGAGTGACTCCATTTGCATCGATTCTCCAAAGTATCATGTACCGTTATTTGGAAACACGACAAACTTGTCCACGATGTAGTTACTCTTGGACCGATGCGACTCCACCATCGATATTAAAATTAAAGAAAGTGGATTTTGTTTGGATAAACAGAGAGCAACGAAGCTTCGAGTGGTTTGTCCATCTCCTCTCTCAATTGGAAATAACCCAAGCCGAGTTAATGGAAGCCGATCGTTTCCTGGACATGCACATTTACATAGCATCGGCGATCGATAATGCTGATATTCGAGTGATTGGTCTTCGATTGGCACTTTTGTCCTAAAAAAGTTTATCTGAACAACCTGTTGTTATGTTTATAATTGTTTCTATTAAATGATCGGTCTGTCAGAAATTGTTACTCCTTAAGTAAATATGATTAAATCATATTTAATTTTACTAACTTAAGGAGTAACAATTTCTAACAGTCTGCTCATGTAATAGAAATTGCAATATCTTGAGCTGATTGCTAAGATTTAACAACAATCATGGTGATCATTTGAAAAAACTATAACATAAATTATCAATAAAATTTATAGTGAAAAAAACAATTTAATTTAGACAATAATTTACATTTAATATTTTACAATTTAGACCTGTGATAACAGGTGGTTAGTTAATTGTTGAGACATTGAGATGGCAACATTGATTTTCCTTGTCAAAAAAAAAATAACTCGGGTTTCGATTTGATTATTTATGAGTGTTGACCATTAATTAAGCTCGACTTGATACTTGATAATAATCAGCAAAAAAAACATTGGTCAAGAATCAAACAGGTTGGATAATTTTAATCATTTAATTTGATTTCTTTCATGAAGATGCTCTTCCAGGTAAATTGGAGTAACTCGAGCTGGTTTAAATACCCTAGAGATGACAAGATTAGAATAATTAATTAATCATCATTATCAATTAACTCACAACTGGGACAAAATACAGACTGAATGATGAATGACATTTTTAACTTGATTACAATTTAAAACTTTTTTTGTACTACAAGTGATAAGTAGCTCATCTTCAATCTGTATCTTGACCACTTTTGGTTGACCAACTTACGAATAGGGTGAATTGGGAACACCAACAACCAGAATATGATTCCCTTTGAACCAGAATCTCCACATTGATTTATGATAACCTCTTGGATCCAAGTCCCAAATTTTGAAACATTTTGCTATTTGTTTCCATGTTTTGAAATCTCTTGAATCATTCATTTTCATGAACATAACATAGACCTGATTCTTGGTGTCAGGAATGAAATTCTCTTCACATGGAGATTTACTATGATCCAGGACTATGGCTTTTTCCAATAGGCTTTGAATGGATTTCTCATAATTGTCCTTCTTTACGCTGGAAAGGTTAATCCATGGAAAAGAAAACCATCACCATCATGATAAACATTATGGAATAGAAAAGAAAAAGATTCGATTGTTAATTAATATATTATTCGGATAAATAATCGATTTAGCAAAAGAAATTGAGATTTCTATTAATCCAATCCAATTTTCTGTTAACATTTCAATTCTCTCTCACTCTCTAAGTCATTATGATACAATTCTTATACTTTGTTTGCACCGGAGGATAGATGAGGATGAGAACACAAAATGTAAACAAAAGCCAGAAAAAGGCAGAAGAAACTATTAAATTCATTGAGAAGTTCATGGAACATTGAATGAATAGATGGACAGTTAACAAGAATCAGCGTCAAAAAGAAACATTTTCAACATTTGAAAAGAATAGAATTTTATCTTATTGACCTTGAGAGTATAAATCTTAACAATCGGAACTATGGAGATGATCTAAAGAATTGAATGCGATAATATACAAAGAAGATAAAGGAAATAAAATGGTTAACAAGATGGCGAATGCAGAAAAAAGAGACAAAAAATCACAGGTAGTGGAAGAAGAATCGAAACAAATCAAAAGGAATTCATTCAATTGTAATTGATGGATATTAATTGAGAGATTATTGGGCCATAAGATGAAAGAAAATGGCGAAAATAGTAAGAAGAAGATGGAAAATAAGAGAGAGGAACCACTTTGCTCTTCAGGTAAACATGTTGACTTGAGTTCGCAAATGGATAAATCAGTTTCATGTCAATCAAATGAATCTTTGTCTCTTTAACATCCAACTATTTTATTCTAGTTATTCTCTTATTCCTTTTCATCATCATCATCATCAATTTCATCATCATTAACATCTTATTTTACCTTCCATCATTACTCTCTCTCTCTCTCTCATCTTAAAGTAGAAGGAGTAACAACAAACTGACCCAGACTTGAAGAACCATAAGAAACTGAGTGGAATTCCTTGTAGACGAAAAGAAGACAAATCAATATAAATCTAATTTAAATGAAGATCATCATCATTATCATCTTCATGATATTCCAACACACCAACGGTGAGAAAAAAAGGACAAAACAACTACAGAGTATAAATACCCAAGAGAATCAGTGATTAACGGATGAATCAGTAATCAGAATCAAACTAACAACTAATGAAATGTATCAACATGGAGAGAGGAAAGATAAAATCAATTTATACTAATCAACTGTTCAGTTATTCAAATATGAATATGATTATGTAGATAAGTTTGTTGTGGTGATACAACGATAGATAATATTAGTCGATGAAAGTTTTATCATCTCAGTGAGTTTAGGGATTTCTTTGTGTTTTTCAAAGTTAAGAAAATGGCCTGAGGGCTTGAAAATGGTTATGAACAAAAGGGGAACATCATCATGGTATAAGAGTTGTAAAGTTCCGCAGGGATCATCCAACAATTAGGCTGATCATTTTTACCTAGTTAACACTTCGAATCATCCAACATGTAGTTTAGAATCTGTTTAAAGAAAAGTTCTGAGAAAATCTGATTCGTGTATATTAGATGTCAGATTTTTTTTTTGCTTCTTTTCTTTATTTTTCCATTTATTCATTTTCTTACTGCTTTACATTATTCTCTCTCTTTCTCTCTCTCTCTCTTTCGTTCTAAGATGATATCTTTTCTTGTCTTGGAAAATTTTCTCAGATTAATTCACATTCGATTCTATTCATTGCTTGCAATGAATAGTTTTCAATGGAAATCCTTTTTTCTCTTTGAAAACTATTACACAAGTTCTGTTCTCCATGATAACTTTCATTCAATGGAAATAATGAATTTCTTAGTCTTGTTTTCATCCTTATCATCATTTACTCGCAATCATATGGAAACTCAGACTATCAAGATTGACCAATTTACGAGAATATCGATGGAATTGAAGTTGAGAAGTTCGATCTATGGTTCTATTTTCATCTTACTATTCATAATGATGATTCGGTTGATAAATGAATTCCAACTTCTTATATAGTTTCAATGTTTTCATCAATCAACTTGGACTCATTTGGAACCTTAAGATTTCAACTTAATTATAATTCCTGATGAGATGTACCCTTAACCACTCAACAATTTAAACATCTAATGGTGTTTACTCTTGATTATATTGACCCTACCTGCGAGCATGTTACTGCCACTTGAAAGATACTTCATATATTTACTTGGCTCTAAATTGCAATTCAATTAAACGACTTTCAAAATCAAATGGGTAAAGATGCTCATAAATACTGAATAAACTGATAGATTTTCCCTTTTATCTTCATCTATTCATCAATTTCATCATTCTGATCATTTTATCATCAACCATGTTGATAGTGAAAAGAAAATAAATTGAACATGTAACTCATTTTCAAATATATATTCATGATAATCTAAGAAAATTATCTTAATATCTACTGTAACTGCTGCTGGTGAGTAAGACAGAAAGAAGAACAAAAATTCATCACTTGCAATAGTTTCGTCAACATTATTATCATTATCATCTCTCTCTCTCTCTTCTTCTTCACCATGATGATAATCATGATCCCCTCCCTTATATGAATTCTAATGATAATCATAAAAACATATGGTTCGATATTGGGTCGAAATTGTTCTTGGGTGGATCTTTCATTTAGAGATATTCGATTCTCTTCAGAACTTATTAGCTTTTCTTCATCTTGATCCAATATTTTCCATTTTCATATATTCTAATTCATCGTTTTTTTCATCTTTTCTTTTTTTCTCTTACATGTATATGAGCATCTTCTTCCCAGCAGATAATATCATCATCGATTTTCCAACAGCCTGTGACATTTTGCTTACCCAAAATTAGTTGATTGTTAAGGTGAATATTATCATAATTCCCTAATTTATTATTTCCTAGTGTCTTTTTTTTATATTCATTTTTTCAAGATGTTGCATTGAAAATTTGATTGTTAAGTTTCAATGGAAAATAATTCATTGTTACTCATGATGATATGAAGAAATTGTTATTTTTTTCGTATCTCCAACGATGATCATGATTAAATTATCCAGGATAACCCAAAGAGTTAATCAATAAATTCAATCATCATCATGTTAACAATTATGGTTGAATGAATTTACTTCTTATACTTTCAACAATCAGAATGCAAATTGAATACATTGAAAGAGATGATAATAATGTTTAACTTATTATCATTTTAAATGGTTAATCATTTGATTATATTTTCACTCTCTCATAAAGGATTGTTAATATGATGCTTACCTGTCAATGTTTTTAAGTTGAATATAAGGAACTCTGTTAAATGCATGTTTCTTGAAATAAGTATCATGAAAATAGGAATTCATGTTAAGACCAGAGGAACCAAAATGATAAGTACGTGAGATATCAGGGACAACACATTCTCGACCCTTACGAATCTCTGGTAATCTCATCCACATGTCCCAGTCCCAAAGTTTTTCGGGTGTTGGCCAACGTGTTTCAAGTTCCTCTTTGTAAAGATCACGTTTTAACATCCAACCCAATCCCGGCATAGTTTCAACTCGATAAAGGAGAGTTGGATCTTCAGCCGTGTGCTCATAACCCTGATCATTCCAGGCAGAGATACAGTAAAGGGAATCATCTTCCTCCAAAAGACGAGAGGTTTGACTAAAATAGGAAAATAGGTCAGGTGACACATCCAAATCCTCTTCCAATATAATCGCATACAAGGCTTGAGGGAAAAGGTTAAAGGTCGCCGTTAGACTGGCTTTGTAGTGCTGAGAGATGCGAGCATTTTTAACTCCGATTGGTGTATGCTGAATACCTCGAAGGCCAAACAGTTTAGTCACCTCAAGAGGCTCCTCGAAATAACCATCAATAAACACCGTTATCATTTCTTTATTGGCACCTTGGGCGGATAATAGTGAACGAAGCATACTAAATGAGAATTGGAAAGAAACAATTAATTATTCAATTAGAATTACGATTGATAACAATTAACGGGACAAAATGATTACATTGCTAAAAGATGAAGTGAGAATGTGTCTTTACACAATTCAGTTGATGATAACTCAATAAACTTTTTGCATCTTCTTCAATTCTGAGAGTTGATTGAATCAGAAATGGATCATTTGATCATGGATCATGATTAACAACAACAACAACACTAACCAATAGGATCATCTCTTTACTGTAAATCGTTGTACAAGTTAATTTAGTCTAAATTGTTACTATTAAATGGATAAAACCTTTAACAGAGAGAAGCCATAATAAGGTAATAGGCAAGAGATTGGAGGTGATTTATGTTCATGGTGGAAAATGATGTGGGAGTTAAATGAACATCAAGAAAAGAAGTTAGATGGATGAGAGAGAAAAAGAGGAAAAGGATGAAGATGATAAAGGAAGATGAAAAAAAAGAGACAGAAATGTTGGAATCATTTGAAAAATGATTCGATAGTGTAAACCAAACTCTATCTTCAGCCATCATCCCACAAAATGTCATCAATCTAATTCATACATAGAGGAAAGTAGCAAAACTTTTGAAGATGATAATCATGATGAGGATGCTGATTGCAAGATTGGCGAATAGAAATTAAATTTTTCTTCTTCATCATCATAATTATATCAACATTTTCATGGTTATCATTTTCACCTTTTCTCAATTTCAATCAACAAAAATTCATTTTTCAACCAGAAAAACAAATCTCCTCATCTGATTTACCTGTTGTTGTTTTTAACACTTAATCTTGTTATATTGTGATGATGACAACATCTCATCATCATCATCACAATCATTATCATCTCAAGGAAAAATACAAAAACACATCAGTCAATGGCTTCTTTAGCTAATAAAGATTCATCTCATTAAAGGTTATAAAGTGATTGTTAAATCAACTGATTAATCAAATACAGAGGAGAAAATGTCAGCTCGAAAGAAAAAAAAATTCGAGAAAAGTTTTCTCAATAAATTAGTGAACTTTAAGTATCAACAACAATGAGTTTAATGAGAGAGTAAATTACAATAAAGATTTGTGATTAAGGTGAAAAAGTTAACGAAAAAAAAAAGAAAAGTTCAACTATCGAAGTGAATTAAAAGTTTAGACAAATCAACATCAATTGCAACATGTAACAATTATAAAGAAACGTAATCATCCAATTAAATCCATGGGATTATTTCAATTTACATCGGAAAATGAAAAAAATATCACTTCAATTGATGAGAACTAAAAGTGTCAACATTTATCCTCATCATCTTTTTGTTACTTAATCACATTCAATGGATCAAATAATCAACTAATCACCAGTGTTTTACTTGAAGGAAAAAATCAATGATTAGCTTAATTGTTGAAACAAAAGCTTGAGAAAAAGTTAACTAGCAGCTTGAAGATGCAAACAAAACTTTGGGAATCATTTTTTTCCGGTGTTTATTCAAATGATCACCTTGATTGTTGTTAAATCTCACCAATTAGCTCAAGATATTCAAACTTTTTTTTCCAGTTCATTGTTTTCCCTTCAACATTTACCTCTATTCCTCAAGTAACTTTAATCATGTTTCTAAGATTTTTTTTCATCTTCTCCATGATGATTTTCCCAATGAAATCTGAGCTTATCTCTCAAGCGTTTATCATGTTACAGTTATCAAGTTTTTTTACCTGTAGAGTTTCATATAATATTGTTGGAAAGCAATTCGATTTTCACTCTCCACACAAATCGTGATGGTTAAACCATGAATCAAGTTAAAAGTCAGGTAAGATTAGTAATAATAAGCAGGTAAACAAGTTGGAGAGGTAAAAATCTACGGTAAAAACTCAAACAGAATTGAAAAACAAGAGATTTTTTCATCTCTTCAAGTTTTTTTTCCTCTTCTTGATTATCAGTCTTCTTCATGGTATATTAGTTAATCATGATCTGAATCTGATTCCTTTGGATCACAATTACACCACCTCTACCCAACTATCCACATCCTTTTCATAATCTTGCTCATCTTTCATTTCTCTCACATAGGAATTACCTTGTTGGAGCAGAAAGTCAAGAGTACAGGGTGACTCATTCGACCCTCTTGAAATTTAAACTGCTGAGGTTGAATTATGTTCAATTGAAGGATAATCAGTGAGCATATTAAATACAACAAGATGAATTTTTTGATTACAAGGAAACTATTCATCTGAATAAGAGGAATGATTAACATTAATTTAACTATTGATGTTAACTAGGTGATGATGATGATGAGATAAACAGGTTGAAATGGTTCCAGAGATGAGGAAACTTCATTATTACCTCATCTTCATCATTCATTACATGTTCCAAGTATTATTATTACCATGCTCATCAGTTGAGAGAGAGATTGAGTGTGAGTGAGTGAAGGTGGAAATGCATGAAATTAATTATAATCAAATCGCTTTCTCCCTTTTAGTTGATGAGATATGTCAAGGAACAGTTTCTACCTTTTTTGAATATTACATTTCTGGTGACAATTTAAGTCCAATCCCAGTCAATTTGAGTAACAAGAGGAAGGAATCAGTTAAATCATTGTACCATAAATATGAACAACTGAGAGAAAGAGGTAAAGTTACAGGGTGATTATATTCTCAGTGTTCAACTCTACATGTCACCCACTGATTATTTGAAGAAAGGTTGATGAATAACATTGAATATCAACTAATACTGTCCCAGGGAAACAAAAACAAATCGGGTGACAAGTTCAACTTGTAGGTGTAAATATATTGATTAGAAACATTTGATGATTAAACCCATAGGAGTGAGTATAATCATGACAAGGAAAACGCGATGATGATTAAATCAGAAATTGGAAATTGTTTCCATTATAATGGAAACTCAATTCAATGTAATCATCATCACATTTATTGTTAATCCTTTTCCTTTCATTCATTTCAATAAAAGTTAATTGAACAAAATTAGTTTCCATTGAGAATCAACTTTCAATTGGAAATTAATTAGTTGATAACAATTAACAAATCAAGTTATTATCATTTTAAAAACAAAAATACACAAACACAATTTAGTAGATTACAATAATTGATTCATTGAATTGTGTTTATGTCAATCACAATTAGGAACAATTAATGTTGATATAAAACACCAAGAGGAAATTAAACTGACAGAGAAACAACAATCAGACTAATTTGATCAATGATTTGAATTGTTATCAAATTTTGGACAGTTAAAAATGATTCAAATAATTAACAGGTATCATTGAAATTAACTTACTTGTAAAGGTAATGCGGACGATTGGAGGCAATTATGGTTACCGGAATATTTTTCACTTTATTGTCTGGAAGCTGAAAAAACAATTAAGATGATTAGTTAATAAGGTGGTTTATTTATAACAATCAATTAGGTTAATTGACAATTTATCTTGGACTTGACAGTTAACAAATTAAAAGGTGTGGATGTATATTGGCAAACAATCAATAGCAAGTAGGTTTAATGCATTACAATTAATAAATTGTTGGTGGTTAACACGACATTATGTTCATATACAGCCAAGGACTTTGAAACCACTTGTTAAATCATTGATTCAGTTAAATATAATCAATGAAAATCAAAGTTAATCAAGAGAAATGATAATCAAAAATTATCTCTCTAATTTAGATGATGTAATCTCTGGACAATGGTCATCGGATTAGATGTTTAAAGTTACCTTTACCTGATCATCATTAACTGTGCGAATCATTTAAAAAGTGGTTGCGAATTGAGTCTTTGATTGTTTATTGATTATCGTGATAGCCTGAAGGTAATGGTTAGCAAATTGTTGGTTGATTGGTGAAAATATATTTTTGGAATCATCTTGTTGATTAGTTAATAAGTTGCTGTTAAATTGTTCGGGTTAATGGTGATTAGGATGATCGAGCAGATTAAGGATTTAATCTTATCATTATCATAATCATCTTAATCATTTGGTGGTTAAGGTTTTGACACATTAGGATTAAGATTAGATCTTCAAGTTAATTGGTAGACAATTGGTTGATTACTGTAAATAATTAACAATCTTTGATATTGATTAATCTTTTAGTTAAATCAACTAATTGAATAACATTTAAAATCATGTTTTGATTATTATCAATAAAATTTCATTTCGTTCAATTTAATTAACTTGATTGATATTTACGTTTATCAACTAATCTTATCCGATAATATGATTTACATTTAAATTGATTGATTAAATCAGTTTTATGGAAATAAGAAATTGACTATGACAATCAAATTTCCGACAATTTATGAGTAGGTTTCGATTGAATTGATTTGAATAAATTTAATACAACTGAATATTATTAATAATCAATTGTTATTTGTTTACATAACAATCAATCAACAATTAAATCAAGATGAAGGTAAATGTCACCATTCAAATAGTCTCAATAATAAACTAAATCATTTAAATGATTAAAAATTGCAAATTATTAATGAATTGCTCATCTCTTTTCTTGGATTATTAGGTAAAATTTGATCAAACTAATTGTGATTAATTATAGCTAATTGTTAATGATCCCGTTGATCTAGTTGATTGTTGACCTTCATTTAGATTTTTCAATTTTTAACTACTACAACTACTGATCATTACAATTAATCAATCCAACTTAATCACCACTTGTTTACCCAATAATTAAGATTATCATCTGAATTATAATTAGCGGGAAATTTTGTCAGATTGACCTAAAGATGGAAATTAAATTAAATCTAATTGTAATTACAATCAAACCAGTTTATCACTTTAACCTTGAAAAAATGGACCAAATAAATTGGGTGTTGATTGTTGAGGACTGTTAAGTTAATTGTTGATGAAAATTTTTCGCTCAATTTTAATAAACAAAATAATTCATCAAGAAAAACTAAAAATACTTTCCAACAATTAGTTGTCCTCGGGCATTCACCCAGATTAATAATAATGAAAGATAATTAAATTGAGTTGTCTGAGTTTGAAAAATTGATTGTGATCAGATCCAGTTTTTCATTTCAGAGAGCAATTAACTAATAACAATTAAAAGATGATTCCGTTTACTTAAGGTAACCTGATATTCAATCGGTCAAGTGGTTGGAGTAACTTGAAGTGTTTCTGTTTACTAATTGATTTGATTTTCTCCTCATCTTATTTTTAGATAATTAATTGATTAACTCACCTGTTCGGGATGAAAAGATAACGGAGCGGGATCAGAACAGGAGCAAACTTGACCATAACCTTCAATTCGGTTGCAAAAAGATCGCCTTCTTCGATTCTCTTCCGTTTCCGGCCAATTACATTCTGATTCTTCTAATGGAACCAAAGGAAGATCAACTTTAAGAACCACCGGTGCTCCCCATGAATTGAACTCTGGACTCTTCGAGTAAACCTCTCCCAAAAGTTTACCTCCTTTGACCGTTACCATGGCCCACATATCACGCCAATTTAAATGAGCTGCTCTTTTACTACCTAAACGTTTGAGTAAATCTCTAGCCGCAGGTTTCATTTGGAAGGTTCCTTCATCTTTAATGGCAAATATAATAACTCTGCCATCGGAGACCATATTTAAAAAAAGTGACATGGCCTCGTCTTCATGAAGGGAATAAGTATCAAAGGTTCGTTGAGCCATCACAGATCCTGTAGCTTGATTGAGTATCAATACATGAATACCACGTCCCTTATCTTCATCTGAATCTTCCAGAATCTATATGATGAATGAAAAGGATAAATACCAAAACATTAATCTACATGAATAATAACAATGAGAAAAAAAATTCTTGATCACAAAGGTAAACACAGAAAAAGTGACCAATCCTGTTATGAAAATCAATTGGGAACCTGAGTCAATGATCATGATACAATTTCCAATAACAAAGTGGAACATAATCTCCCCTGTCATCTCTCTCTCTCTCTCTCTAAACTACTTGTCATCACCCCCTGCTCATCTTTTCACCTCCACTGACCCAGAATATATTTATTATCATTTTTTATCCATCATAACACAATATGAAAAACCAACGACAAATAATCACAACAATTTAAAAAAGGTAAACAGACCACTTGATATCTTCATATTATGACAACAACAATCAATTGATCAGAAAATGGAAACAAAAAACAATGACAATCAACATTGTAACCAAAACATTGAAAAACAAGTTCTATGTATTATCAGCAAAGTGTCTCAACCATTAATATTAGCATTATTATTATTTTTATTATAATTTATTATGGTCTGAATGATAATAATGAAAGAGATAGAGAAGAAAAATAATAATAATAACGACAATGGGAAACAAGCAACAAAAAAAGTCATGTAATGTTTCATTCATTTCAATGAGACTCATGGGATTGGTTATAACATGACAACAAGATGAATACTGAATGAATAATAATACTTGATCAGGAAGGGGAAGGGAAAAAAGTTCAAGATTTACATGTAATAACATGATGAATGAATGGTAATAATCAAGTGAACAGGAAAAAAAAGTGACTGGGAGTGAAAATTATTGAACCAATTTCATGATAAATTCATGATGATGATGATAATCATAAGTAATCAGTCAATGTAATCTTCATCAAGACACTTTTAATAAGATGATTCAAGTTGCGATTATATTTGAACAATTTAACTTAATGATATCGAAGCAATCTAATAGTTAATTGTGTATAACTTTTATTACTTTGGGTTAGATGGTAAATCAACAACAACAGAAAATTATTATTTTTATCTTCAAATTGGTATAATGTCAATCATTTAATTCACTTTATTGGTAGTTATTAATTTCTCAACCTTTTTGCTTCATCTTCTTTTGATTCTTGATAACAATCAATTGAATCAACTTAATATGTTCACGGATTAAACTGCCAAATACAAGGCATTTCCGACTGAGTTTCCAACAAGTTTTTCTTGAGTATTTAGACCCCAGACTCGAGTCATGTGAGTTTGAGCTCAATTGTCATATTTCAGCACCAAGGCCATTCAGGTCATTCTGTTAGGATAAGGTTTCAAGGTCATTTGCCGGTCACAATCGATTCAAATCTAAAAATCCCAAAACAAAGAGGTTTCTTGACTTTCACTCTCTTGTTACAAGAAAATAAGTGAGAATTGAATACAAAGGATTCTACACCAAAAATGCTATTTCTCTGCAACTAAAAATGTCCAAAAGTTGTAACCTCGTTTACATCAATCAATCATCGACCATCAAATGACCTTGAAACCGCCGAGCATAACTCGAGTCTGAGGTTTGAATACTTAGAAGCAAAAAAGTAATTCAAGAAAACTTGTTAACCAGAGTGTTTGCTGACAATTTATTGTTCATAAAAATTGTATATCTTTTAGGTGAATACAATTAATAAATCAATCGATCAGCAATTAATCAAAGTATCAAGAAATCATTTCGTCCTTTTTTTGGACTTTAATTGTGACCAACAATTTACTGATTGTTGTCTGGGATTTTGTATACTTTTTTTAGTCAATATAATATTTATATCCATCACTGATTATGTTTATAATAATTATTTTTGATAAATGATGGTTTGAATTGATAAAGTTAATTGTAATTGATCTTCATTTGATTGTTTGATGTAACTAAATTGTTACCATTTTTTAGTCTACTTGTTATTGTTATGTTTTCATTTTCTGTATATTGAAATGGAAAATCATTAGTTGATTGTTGGTAACAATTAACCTGCCAAAGGAAACAATCGATAACAATTTATCTTAACAATTGTGAAAAAATGATGAAAATCTTGATTGACCTGATTTATTGGTTGATCAAGTTGATTAAAGGTTTTCAAGTTAATTTTGATATTGATCTTCATTTGATTGGCACAATTAATTGATTGTCCAGTTAGCTATTAATCTAGATTTAAATTCAATTTAATAACCATCATCATAATTACATAATTAACAATCAAACTTCAACTTGATCAGAGACTAATTTGATTGTGACCTTTTTTTGCTTGTATTAATATTACAATTAACTGTTTATATTAATAATTAACCAATTAACAAAAAGTGTTGATAGTTGATTATAATCAAATCTCATGCAATTAAATTAACAGAAAATTGCAATTTAATTTTAACCAATTGGTTGACCCGAACCCGAAATGTCAAGATTGTTGATAATTAAAAGTAATTATCATTCGCCACAGTTTAATTAACACAATTGTCATAACTTCTGCTTGAATTGGTCAGTTAACTAATTTAATGGCCAACAACAAATGATAACAATTAAGATTCAGATAGATAAATGAATTGGCCACAATAAACTAATGAAAACTTAATAATTAAGATTTCCGGGTTTCACCCAAAACAACAATTGATCAACTGATGACAATTAAATCATTCAAATGATAAAAAGAGTATTCAAAATTTAGATAACAATTAAGACAATTGATATCTGAATTCTAGGGAATTGATAATTATTACAGAGATGAGATTAACTATTCTTGTTGATCCAAATCCTTAATTGTTCAGATTTTTTTTTGAGCTGTTCAAGTGCCAAGAAAAGGTCAATTTGAATAATCATCAACTTTAAGAACCGGAACAATCATAATTAATTAATTAACTGAAAAGGAAAACTTTTTTTCTCTCCATAAGAATCAACTAAATTAACTGAATCACTTTTTCTTGTTCCTGACAAAATCTCACAATCATCAAAAGTTAATGATCAACACTAATGATAATTATTAAATGAGCAATTAATTTACTAATGTTAACGAGTGATTAAAGTATTATCTGAACACACAGGAGAAGAAGAAAAAATTAATTAATTGTTTAAATTATCATTTCAAATTGATTCGCAACAATCATGATCACAATTGAAATGTTTACCTTTTTGCTTGACAACTCATATAAAAATTAATAATTTCAATTAATTAATAGACTGATTGATTGATTGGTCAAGATGATTGATGGAGTAATAATAAAATAATTGTATTCAAGTTGATTGTCGTTGACAAGTTTATTAATTAGAGCTGACGGATTGTGATCATTGTTTAATTGTTATTAATTAAAAAAATCAACTTACCGTTGTCCCATCAACGTTGACAGATACTTTTGATTGACTGGACAAGACTTTCACACTTAAAGCCTTAGCAAAACTTTCTGATTGTAATTTAAGTCCATTGTAACGTTCATCAAATGCTATACTGGATTCATCGGTTGAACCTAATTAGAGGAAACAAATTAAAAGTTAATCAACAATTAAGACAGTGGTTGATAATGTTACCATCATGATTAAAACATTAACCTAATATAACTTAATTTTGATGGATTAAAATTGATTGTTACTGATTGTTATTGTTGTTTATTGATAGTTGAAAATGTTTATTTTTTTTTTAAATCCCGATTAACTTTAATGACAACAATTCTTGATTTTCTAATCCTTTTGATATTAAAACTTTACACCACAATTAAATTGTAGATTGATTGAGAAATTGAAAGATGGTTGTGTCAATGATCAAGTTAATTAATCTGTTAATCGTTGAGATTAAGTGATTTGAAACATGAAAAGGTATCAATAATCAAATGGGAATAACTTTTTTTTCGTGTATCAAGTTAATCAATCAAAAAAATGTTACTCATATCAAATGATGATGTCTTTTCATCTTCATCATTAGAAAACATCATCATCACCTTTTTAAATTGATTCTTAGATGAAGTGTCAGACGAAGAGGAAGAAATGAAAAATCATCATCATAAAGAATGGTAATGATGATGATGATGATGATAATAAAGAAAAGAAACAAAAAATTCTCAAGAAATATAAATAAATAGAGAAACAGGGAAAAGATGAACAATAGAGATGGAGAAGTAGAACTCATCATCATTATCATCCGGAGTTCATTTCCAATGACGTTGATCATCATCGTCATCTTCATTCAGGTTATCTTCCTTTTTTCCTATTCCAATGTCATTCATTTGTTGAATTTTATTCAGAAGGAAAAAAAAGTTAATTCTGTCAACATGAAAAATATGTTAACATTGTCTTTTAAAATACAACAAAGATGAAGATAATGATGATAAGGATGCGGATGACAATAGGCGAAAGAGAAGAGGTTCATGGAAAAAGTTCATCTTATTATCTGTAACATTGAAATCAGAAATTAGACTTATTTCTGAATGAAGAAAGAAGAAGTTCTGTCAGAATCTTTTTCCTTTATTTCCTTTATTTTCTTCATCATTTTCTATCTGCTTCTGGTTGTCTTTCTTCATCATCTTCTTCCTTGTTGATATTTTTTTCTCTCTTTCACCATCTCCTACCCATTTACACCACAAGAGTCATTAAGGTGTGACAAAGATAGATTGATGAATTGAATTAAATTAATTTACTCACACAATTAACATGAAATGAATGTGACAAAATCCTAAATGTCCAAATAACCTCAAGTTTTGTATCAAGTTAACCTTAATCTTTTCCCTGGCAACATGAGTGAAATTTTTTCTCATCTTGGATCTTATTACCTGATCAATTTGATGATTATCAACATCAGGTAAACATGAACAACATCATCAACAACAACAAGCAACAAAAAACCATTAAAAACAGGTCTCATCATGTTAATCCCAAAATTCACTGACAAAATTAAACTCCAGTATATGTAAGAGCTGATAAGCAAGTGAATTAATCTAATTAAACTAAAACAAAATCCAAAGTAATACTTAATGATGAGGTAAATCAGAAATCAAGAAAACATTACAATCTTGATCCGGGATAAGGATTATTACTTACCTTTCAATAAAGACTCTTCCCTTAATCGTTTACTAGTGTCTATGATAAATAAAAGGTTTACTACCATAGTTACCATCAGAATGACCAGCAGGATGAACTGTTATCATGATGAGAGAGAGAGAGAGAGAGAGAAGGATAATATTAGTCATGGTAAATTCAATGTTTCCAAAAATTCTGGTGGGTAAACAAGTTTCAACTGAATTAGAAAACTTTTTATTGTCTGTTTCTTTTTTTCTTGTTGGGCTTGAGAAATGTAATAAGATGATTTATTAATGATTAAAGTTGATGATTAAATTGTTTCCATGATGGTTTGTGATATAATATTAACGATAATGTTATGATGATAATAATAATAGATTGGGCGATGCTCTTGTTATCATCATCATTATCATCATGTACCCATGATAAATTGTCATCACTTGAAAATTTTCAATTTACTTTTTTTTTATATTGAAATCAATTAGCCTTTTCAATGAGTAGTTGAAATTTTATCATCAAGCAATCAGAAAGATCTTGATAATGATCATCATCATGATGGATAATGAGAACAGATCTTAAAAATACTAATACTACATCTCATTGATAAAAGGTAAGAATAAGATGATGATGATGATGATGATAATGATAGTATTGAAGATAATGATGATAATCGTGACAGTGTTATGACAATATTTTCGAGTGAAAGTTTGTCATGAACTTGGAAAGTACAAGTTTTGAACTTTAGGTGAAAGTGAGGGTAAGATGATGAGTATGAACTTTGTCATGGGTAAGAAAATGATGGAGAAAGATGAAGTTATGGATTAAAATTGGAAGATATCATCAACAGAAATACTGAGTAGAAAAACAGTTGATTCCAATTATCTCATGGAATTCGGTGGAAAAGAAAAAGATGATAATGATGATGAGTTGAGGGAGGTGATGAAGGTGGAATATTGTCTTGATGATACCGCAAAAGTACCGCAAAGATGATGAGATGGAGGGAAAAAAAGTCGAGAAAATAACTTTTAAGTTCTTTCTGTCAAATAGATTAACTTGTTCATCTTCATTTTACCAAATCAATTGCTTATTTCATACCGAGAGTCGTTAAAGTTTACAGTTAAAATGTCACTTATATTGTGAACAAAAATTCAGTAAATTGTAAGTGAAGAGAAGGAGGAGAGAGAGAGAGTCAGAGAAAATGATAATGATGATGAGGATGAAAATTCTAGGAACACAATTCTGAGGAATCTTCATCTAGTATCACCCATGTTATTTGAGGTCAGTAAAGTGAAGAAAAGATTAAGTGAAAGCTAAAGTATAAGGTGTGTATTCCAATTTCCGGTTAACATACGATTCTCAATCATTTCCACCGGAAATGGAAAGTCAACATGAGAGAGTAATTGAAGATGAGCACAGAAATGATCATCTTCTTGTAATGGAAAATATTAATACTATAAATTATCATTTCTTTAGAGATGAAATAATATTTTTTTCCTTTCGTTCTCAAAATGTGATTCAATTCTGATGATTAGCAATTATTTTATTGTCTTTCATATAATAACAATCGTAATAACATCAGTATGTTAGCAACAATTAACTAGATTTACTCAAATAATTAACTATTTTTAGACACATAAATAGCAAACACTCGTACGATTTATTGATTAATTGTAATTTGAATCAGTAAACAATATTTATCATTAATTGTTGCATAGAGACAAACAAAAAGTAATACAAAAAATCATCAACAAAATTAAACAAACAATCAATTGGGAAAAAAAAGTCAAATCAAATTGGATCGGATTAGCTTGATTAACATTGAATCATAATTGTAATGATAGACACTCAGAACAATTTAAATCACAAACAATCAAAAGTTACAAACAAAATGAGACAAAAAACTAATTGATTACACAAAAATTAGATAATTAAAGGTAAACCTAATTGGAAGAGCATAAAAAAAAAGTTTTACTAATTGAAATTAGTTTATTTGATTTTAAGCTGATTTGTTGATTTAATTGTGACCTAATTTACCAACAAACAACAATGATATAGTAGAAAATAAATTATTAATGATAATATAAAAAAAAATGATAATTAACTTAATCAATATTGACTTTACATTGATCTAATACATAAAAAAGGACACACTCAACCATAGGTAAGTCAAGCTCATTGATTTCAATGTAAAAATTATACTTACAATTAAAATGATAACAATATACAATTAAGTGGTTTAATAGTTGGATCTAATTCATATTATTATCATTAATATATATTTTATCATGTTGTTGCTGAATCATCCTGAATAGATGATAAAAAAATTACGATTGATAGTTGATGATAGTTACTCAGGTTTATGAAAATAAATTATCATCAGATTTGCTGTTCTAAGTCAAACAGGAATCAAATCCATCATAAGAATAAGGTAAAAACAAGTAACAACAACATCATCAGCTTTTTATCATCTTCCTCCCTTTCTGATCATCATCATCATCATCATCAGTAATGGGCTCAGAATCATAACCTCACCCACCCCTTGAATGTAAGGCAATATGATTCATGGTTATCATGTCATATTGATTCATGGATTGAAAAGTGAAGCACAAAAACTTATTGTAGACAAAATAAAAGCTCCAGGCAAATTCAAGTAACAACAACAACAACAGAGACCAAATAATAACAATAAAGAAATACAATATACATCATGTATCTTCATCATCTTCGTGCAAAAATCAAGGTAGATAATCAGTTTCTCTCTGTTATTATCCATCATCAGAATAAGAAGAAAAAAAAAATTCTGACCCAAAGTAATTCTTCAGAGTGAAAGATTACCAATAGAATAAATTTTCAATCTCATCTGATAGATTTAAAACTTTTCTTTCGCCATTAATATTATATCTTCATAATTCCGAATTGCAAGTTATCTTCATCACCTCATCTTCCTAATATACCGTTAGAATATCCATAATAATAATAATATATAAATAGATCTCATGGAAAATAGTTATGAATAAAAGATTATCAGTTTATATAAGAGATGATTTCTTACCATCAATCATCAATCGAAATTCAATTAAGCAAATATAATTAGCTGTAAGTCTCTAAAATCAATTTAACCGAAAGATAATTAACTGATTGATTATTCAGGACAATCAGAACTGCGACTCTTTCAATTGTGAAGCATTAATTTTAAATGATTAGTAAATATGATAAGTAATCAATTGTATACTTATAAATAAGAATCATTAATAATTAAACAATTAAAAAATTAATGACAAAACCAATTAAAAACTATTCTGATTAAAGTTCAGGTTAATCAGTTTTTAATCATTTGCCTGGAAAGCAAACAAAATATAACAATCATGATTTAGATGAGTAGATTTAAGTCATGATAAGATTAACAATCAAAAAATTAGCAAGAAAAAGTTTTGTTTTTAATTCGTAAATCAATAGGTTAATCTGGTTATCGGAATATTTTTATTAATCGGATCAAGATTATGATTAAACAACAATTTAAATCAACAAATACACACACACACATACACAATTATCTTCACAATTACGACACAATTTGGTGATAATAATAATCATAATTAAATATAAATCATTCTGAATGACCAAGGTAATTGGTAACCATTTTTGGTTATGAAAAAAAAAACTTTAATCTGATTAAAGTTTTTAAAATCCTTAACATGGTAAATCACCATTCAGATAATCATGATAACCTGAAAATGATCAACATCCTCCTCCACCTCTTAATCACAGGATTAAAATAAATTTAATCTTCTCCCCCTCATGAAAATATAATTGATGCTATTGATTAACATATAATAATAATCTTAATCTTAAATTGTTGGAAAAAGTGATAAAAAAAGATTGAGAAAAAAACGTTTTCCCTTCAATCAATCAAATTGAAACAAAATTTGTTTAAAGGATAATTAAAGTTAACTGTAAAGTACAGAAATCTTAATCATTATTTGATGATTGAAATTTAATTTGCTTAATCAACTTGCATTTAAATTAATTGCGATACACAATCAACTTTATCAGTAATATATACTAATCAGTTTGAGTAAATATAGCCCACGAATATCAATAGATCATCAGATGAATTAAAAGTTTGGGTGGTTATTAAATTGTTGTTAATCAATCAGTTGATTTAATATATGAAATTTAATGGGTCAATTTGATCGCCTTTCAATTGTTACTTAATTTTATATACTTTTCATTGATATGGTCCGTCAAAGGGTCAATCAAATCAACTCCCACTTTGAGGTCATTCACAGGTAAGGTGAATGCAAGAAAAGTAAAGTATATGAGCAAAACAATACAATTTATATTCACCTAGTAGCGGTTATTGGGAAGACTGACCACTGAATGACCAGTTGAATGGTATTGTTTAAGTTTCTCTCTCTCTCAAATGCATTGAAGTAGCAAAACAAATGTAATCATATTTTGTTCATCATTTTCATCATCAATCGATCATCAAAATGGTTGATTATTATGATTAACAAAAGCATTAACAGTTAGATGACCATTAGCCCAAATCATCAAACATTATTATCAATGGTCATCATCAATGGTTAGTTAATAACAATTGAGTAACAACAAACATTTTTACTTTTGAAAGCTTAATCAAATGTCTGATTCGTATGAAAACAGTTGATTTAATCATTTTGATGATTAACAATTGAATCAAATCTACTTAAACCAAAATTAACTTTAATAGGATCGGTTGGATTTTTCTTCTCTACAAATTGTTCTGGTCATTTTGATACCAATCAAACCGATTGCTCTTTCTGGTGGTCAGTAAATAGAGTTGCAGAAATAACATTCAAATTATAAGTAAACTAAACAGTTTGTACATTATGTAAAGAGACAAATATTATTAGTATCATTAGTAATGTAAAATTTTGAGTTTCAATTTCTCAACATTGGTTGATTATTAATTATAAAAATTGATTGTCAACATTTATATTCAAATGATATAAATTTATTTAATTCTAGTAATTAGTTTACCTGATTTAGGTAATCAAATCAACTTTTATTTATTTTCAGAGATCAAATTTTTGAAGTGGCCTTTTTGGACCTTTTAGAGGTCAGAAAATTTCGAAA